TTTTAACGTAAGATTTGTGATAATTCCTCTTTCATTCCTAATATTGGTCATTTGTGTTATCTCTTAGTCTCTTGATTAGTCTAGGTATATTTACCAATTTTGTTAATCTTGTTAAAGAATCAAATTTTGGCTTTGTTAAGTTTTTTTTTATAGGTAGTGTTCTATTTCATTTTTTGCTTTTATATTATTTCTTTCCTTCTTCTTACTTTGGGTTTACTTTGTCTTTTTCTAGTTTCTTAAGGTAAAATCTACATTATTAATTTTAGGCTTTCTTTTTTCCTAATAATAAACTAAAATTATAAATCTCCCTCTAAGCACTGTTTTAGGTTTGACCCATGATTTTGATATATTTTCGTTATCATTTAATTATAATATCCCTTGTTATTTGACCCATGGATTATTTAGAAATTGTTCAATTTCCAAATATTTAGTGTTTTCCCAGATATCTTATCGTTATTGATTTAATTGCATTATGGTCAGAGAATATATTCTGTTTGATTTCAATCCTTCTAAATTTATTGAAACTTTTTAGAAGCCTAGTATATGATCTATCTTTGTGAAGGTATCATGTGTAAAGACTGTATATTCTGCAGACACAGAGTGTAGTAGTCCATAAATATTAACTAACGTAAAGTGGTTGGTGTCATTAGCATTATCTGTGTCTTCACTGATATTTTAATGTGGTTGTTCTATCAGTTGCTGAAAGGGGGTGCTAAAATCTCTAACTGTGTCTATCTTTCTCTGATTCTATCAACTTTGCTTCATTTATTTTGAAGCTCTGTTATTAGTGCACATACATTTATGATTATTATGTCTCTATACAGAACTATTTTATCATTATGAAGTATTCTGCTTTATCTCTGGTAATAAATATCTTGTCTTGATGTATATTATGTCTGAAATTAACATGGCCATTCCAGTCTTTCTGTGCTTACAATATGTATATCTTTTCCTGTCCATTTAACTTTGAAAGAAGTATCAAAGTAAGTATCTGTTCTTTATATTTTAAATGTCTTTTGCAGACTGCAGGTATTTGGGTATCTTTTTTTAAAATAATCTATCCTGATGAACTCTTTTAATTGGAGTGTTTAGCTCACTACCATTTAATGGAAGTACTGATATGATTAGTTAGAGCTACAATTTTACTATTTATTTGTACCCCGGGTTTTGGGTTCCTCTGTTTCTCCTTTCCTGCCTTCTTTGTATTAATATATTTTGTAATTCCATTATAATCATTCTGTTAGCTTTAAGTTACAATGACTGCTCTAGGAAATACAATATATATATCATTCACTTGAGTCTACTGAACTAACACTGTATTACTTCACGTGAAATGTAGAAAACTTGGACCCATGTAGGCCCATTTTCTTTCCCTTATCCTTAATGTTATGGCCGTCGTATATGTTACTGTTGTTCCATATGTTATACATCCTGCATTACAATTTTTGCTTATAGTAGTTCTATGTACTTACAGAAATTCAGAGAACAAAAAGGTCTTGTAGCTACCCAGGTGTTTACCATTTTTGGTGCTTTTCATTCCCTCTTGAATATTCCAGTTTGTATCTGATACATTTTCTTTCAGCCTTAATTACTTCCTTTAGCATTTCTTGTAGGTTTCCTGGTGATGAATTCTAGTAGTTTTTCCTTAACTGAGAATATGTTTGTCTTAATTTTTAAAGGATATTTTCACTGGATACAGAATTCTGGGTTGACAGTTTTCTTCTAACAGCACTTTAAGGTGGTGTTCTAGTGTGGTCTAGCCTTCACTGTTTCTGACTGGAAGTCAGAAGACACAAGAATCATTGTTTTCTTTTAAGTAATGTGCCATTTTTCTCCAGTTGATTTTTCTCTTGGGCTTGCTAGCTGCTTGACTGGGACATGCTGACATGAGTTAGGGTTCACTGGACTTCTTGAATCTGTATGTGTATGTCTTCCACCAAACCTGGAAAAACTTCAGCCAAGATATTTTCTAATCTGCCCTAGGATAATTTTTTTCCTACTCAGAACACAAAGACAGATGACTCCTTCAAAGTGCTTTTAGGAGAAAGCTGTCACCCCAGGATTCTATAGCCTGCAAAAATGAAGGCAAAATTAACATTCTCAGATGCGGAAAAAAATTCATTACTAGCAAACATGCAATACAAAAAATGCTCAAGGACAGAACTTCATTCACCTAGAACCCAATTTCCTAGTTTTAAGTCCACTACCTTTTTTTTCCCCTTTTGAGACAGGGTCTCACTCTTGTCACCCAGGTTGGAGTGCAGTGGGACGATCATAGTTCACTATAACCTTGACCTCTTTTACTTAACTGATCCTGCCACCTCAGCCTTCGGACTATAGGTGTGCACCACCATGCTCAGCTAATTTTTTTTATACTTTAGCAGAGACGGGATCTCGCTATATTGCCCAGGCTGGTCTCAAACTCCTGGGCTCAACTGATCCTTCCACCTCAGCCTCCCAAAGTGCTGGGATTACAGGTATGAACTGTCACACCTCGCCCCATTAATTCTTATGGTTTCTCTTTCCCTCCCTCTTGAAACTTAAGAGGCAGCATCTTACCTGAGAAAAATACTCTTCTGAAATGCGTGCAGCCCACTCGATGCAGGACTCTAGGGGTCGGCAGGGATTGGACACATCGGCGCACTTAATCAGCATTCGTTTGATTAGAGTCCGGTTCTCTGGAGTCCTGAGCATAGAGTTTATGGCTTCCTGATTTTTTTCAGTTTCCTAAAACATAAGTGGAATTCAAAGGAATCAGAAGGGATCCCCTGGTGCCAAGCCCTCTCCTGCTGGTGTGGCCCCACTGTAAACACAACAATTGCACTGGCTGGGGTCTACAAGTTAAGGGTCCCACGAAACAGTGCCGAGGACACTTTAAGCATCGTGCTTGGCTTCTCACAGTACACAGGAGAAACGGAGGCCCAGTGAGATTCCAGCAGGAGCCAGGAGGGGACGGTGGCCCTGAGAGCGGGCGCATCTGCCCCACCCTTTTCCTTGCCTTTCTCCTCCTCTCACTAAATCTTTCTACTAGTTGCCCTTTTTCTTCCCCTGTTTCATTATCTCACTTTCTCCCTTGATAAGAACTCACAAAGACTGGTTTTATCTTTCTATTTTATATACACATAAAAATATATTATATGGAAATCTCATCTATATAATGATTTACTGAAAAAGAATATGATCGGAAAAAATAAAAAATGTCTCTGCCCTCACAACAAACGGGCTCTTGTGGTCCACCAGGGTCCCTGCTACTCACAACCCAATCCTCGCCCAGTCCTGTGATGGGTGTGATCTTGGCAATTAGCCTTCAGGGTACCAAATCACGTCAGGTATGATCATGTCTGATATTCCCTTACATTGCCCTGCTTGTTTGTTATTTTAAAGACACTGTCTTACTCTATTGTCCAGGGCGGAGTGTAGTGGCATCAACACAGCTCACTACAACCTCCAACTCCTGGGCTCAACTGATCCATGTAGCTGGGACTACATATGCATGCCACCATACCCAGCTAATTTTTCTATTTTTTGTTTGTTTGTTTTGCAGAGATGGGGTCTCACTATGTTGCTCAGGCTGGTCTGGAACTCCTGGCCTCAAGCCATCCTCCTTTCTCAGCCTCCCAATAGTTTTGATGTATAAAGGACTTAATTTTGATCTGTATTCATAAGATCTTATGATAAGCATGAAAAGTATTATTTGTTATTACATTTTATAAATGAGGACACCAGGACTCAGGTGAAATGATTTGTCCAAAGCTACGCAGCTGAGTCAGGATAAGAGCTTAAGTTCTACCTTCAATCCTGGCTACCTTCCACTCACAGTGCCACGTGTCTGCTTCAGAAGGAGCCCCACTGGATATGAATTCTCAATCCACGATGTCACTGACCCTCCAGCTGTAGGCCCTCTGAAGGGAATTCCGGTTAGGGGAGAGAATCCTGGGGCAGAGTAATGACAAAGCAAGTCCCTCCAATCTGATTCATGCCCACGGACCAACTTTCCACAGGAGTTAGTCACGTGATTTCAGTGTGCGATAGCAGTCGTCTAAGGCCTGATGTTCCCATCTCAGTGGGCACAGATCTGCCATCCAGATGGGCAGGCAGTGTCCTGAGAATGGGCCCTGGGAAGTATCAGAATGACTACTCCTGGCTCCAGTTTCCACTGCTGACCCTTCTTTCTTCAGATCTGTTGGTACTGCCAGCCTGGAAACTATTCTTTCATGTTCCTATGCCCTGCTCTGACCCACTGGACATTGATTTCAGCCTCTCAGAAATAACCCCATGTACTGAAGACAGACATGAGAAACATGACTGTTAGTGGAACAGAGGACTCAGCTAAGCCTGGGGTCTGCCCAGATTGGTGGAGGAGGTCAAGTCTGTGAGGTATGTGGTTTCCTCCTGTGGCACGGGGTCAACCAGGAGCGGTGGCCAGGTGACAGTCGGCTCTATCCAGAATGGCAGGGCAGGAGCCAATGAAAGAGGCTGGTGTGGGCACTTGTGCACCGAAAGTCCTTGGAAAGGGAGCAAGGTCGGGAGTAGGCTGACAAACTGGGAGAACAGGGAAAGGTGAAGGATTAGAGTTCTCAAGAGGTTTCAACATCAGGTTAAACCAGAGCTAAGTGTCGAGGGGTAACATGCTATTATAGCCAAAGGCCCTGGCCAAAGAAATGAGTTGCATAAGTAAAATGCAGTTAGAAGTTAAGGAATTGGGATCCTAGCCTAAAAGAGTAAGTCGTCCGTGTGTGTGGCAAATACTTCAGGGTGGTGACAGGAGCTGGGGAGGAAGGTGGTGGAGAAGGCTGGGCCGCTGCCAGGATGTTCGGTGAATGCGTAGTAGGGCAGCTGTGTGGGCCTCAGGAAGGGCGTTCATGAAAAAATATATTCTCCAGGCTACTGACCTCACAATAAATCCGGCATAACAGGTACCAGTTACCAAGTGCCAGGCCCGTCGGTCCTGCGCCTTGAGATTTGTTACCCCTGTTCTACGATATGGAAACGGTGGAGTAGAGCGCGGATGGGGCGTTCAGGTCTGTCTGCTTCCTCAGCGGGGGCCTCCTGCCTGGCGAGAGGTTTGATGTTTTTCTTGCCAGGCGCCTGTTGTGGACTCCATTCCTCAAATGCAGATGTAAGGGGCAACAACAATGTCACAAGGTCTTTCCCGACCCCTGCTTTCCTGTGACATGTGGACCAACGGGTTAGCTGCTGCGACTATGAAACGTGCCCAGGGGAGTGGCTGCGGCGAGACCTCAAGGGCTCCAACTAGTCTCACAATGTCCAAGAAAGGCGGAGGACGCCGGGGAGAAAAGCGCAGGAATGGTCTACCTGTCCAAAGTTGGCTTACCCACAATTGACTTTCCCTTCGAGTTTTTGAATCTATTTAGATGTCTTGTTTTTTTCTTGCCAAATTTTTACACTGTAATTTTTTAACCAATGAAAACTTAAATTCAATGAGCCCGCTGAGGGGGCCCTGCTGTGGCTCGTACCGTGGCCGCGTGTTTCCACGACTCACAGGCACGGGGACCCCAACACAGGCTCTCTCTGCAGTAAGTGTCCCTTACCTCGCTTTCTTCTAGTGCTGCCAAGGGTTTGTTGATGCTGTTGGCAAATTTGTTAACGTGCTCGAAGTGCTTTGTCATTTCTGTGGCTAGGACCATGTCGATGATCCCCTGGCGCAGTGTCCGATAGTCATTCCTGTTTCAGACAACAAATCAGAGGCTGCTGCAGATGCCTCATCCAGACAGGTCCTCCTGAAAACAATCTGTTACCCGGGTTAGGTGTGCGGTGCAGCCGTAAGTCTAAAGCCAGTGAAAGCTGCAGGCCACTTTCAAAGAACGTGGAATTACAGGTGAGTGTCTAGTTCGTTAGCAAGGAGAACCTGAACAAAAGCTAACATCAATGCTACAGGCAAGACTTTATAGCTGTGATGCTTATCTTGTCATTCTGTAGTATGATACATACAGGTCTTAGAATAAGATAAGATAGAACGTAGTGGGGGTGAACAAAGCCAGTTCTCTTAATGAAGACGGAGCTCTGGGTTATAAAGACTGCACCCCACACAAAGGTACCTTAAGACCCAACAATTTTAATGCCCAGAGAACTTTGAGAACAGACCTTCCGATAACTGCGAAAATCACAGGGAACACTTGATACCTTTCCTCTAGCCCTTGCTTTTGTTTTAGTATTTTTAAAAATTCATATTTTTGAAGAGACAATTCAAAATTTGAAAAGTATAAAAGACCATGAAAAAAGACTCTATTCAACTCCTTTTCTGCTGTCATCCAATTCCTTTCCCTGGAAAGTTAGCAGGGTCTTGTGTAGTTTTCCACTGATAACTGATGTATCTATAAACAAATATGAATAAAAACGACTTTATACCTCTGAAATCCTAGAACATGGTAGAAGGGAGTTTTGTAAAATCGGGAATCCCCTTTTAAAAAACTTTCTTTATAAAATCCAAACTAATCGGTATTTTCTTCAACTGCTATTCATAAGTTCCTACTCCATACCAGGCACTGTGCTAGGCGCCGAGGGTATACTGATAAACAAAAGACATGACGCCTATGACCCTAAGAATCTAATCAGACATTAAACAAATAATTATTTTATTAAAAATGTGATATGTGCTATGAAGGAACCTGGAACTGAATAATTAGAGGGTTTAACTTAGGGTGAGAGATCAAGGATGGCTTCTCCAAGGGAGTGACAGAGACAATGACAAGGAAAGCTTTGCTGGGCAAGGAGGGCGGAGTGGAGTGTTCCAGCAGAGCTGTGAGACGTCTACGCCTTCTGGGACTGAACCCTGAAAACACGTAAACTGGTAAATCTATAAAAGTGGATCAGCGGTTGCCTAGGGCTAGGGAAGCTGAGAGGGAAGGGGAGGGGACCACTCACGAATCTGAGGTTCCTTGACAGGGTAATAAAAATGTTCTAGAGCTGACTGTGAATATACTAAAAACCACTGTATGCTTTAAATGGGTGAACCGTATATCATGTGAATTATCTCAATAAAGTTGTTTAAAAAAGAGACCAACCTGCTTCCCAATTGTTGTTCTTACCTCTCCATGTTTTTAAAGATATTGCATTTGTCATCTCCAGTGGTCAGCTGGAAGGCCAAGGCCGCGTGGTGGCTCTCCAGCACAGCAATGTCATTGTACAGAATGGCCAGCTCGCTGCCAGCGTTGCACAGGAAGGAGCTGGTTCGCCCAGGGTGATCGACATCATGAATGGTGGCTGCAATGAGCGCAGCAACCTCGTCCATTGGATCTAAAGTTTCCTGAAAACAAGAGAGCTTTTAAAAACTGGGGTATGACATGAAGGAAAAGAAGCCTTCTGTATAGTTTTTTCTCACCTATTACTTTACGCTAAGAATATTTCAGATTTCTAAAGGCGTACTGTGTGAGCAAATCTGGTTTTCCTATCTCCATTCTGAAACAGTTACATCTTTGCATATGTTTATTAGGAAACATCCGATTCTCAGAGTCTCACACAAATTAAGGACTTACCAAAATATACGTGTCCTCGGCAGACAGGAGTCACCTCCTCAGCCAGCCACTTCCTCTAAATCCGTCACATAAAAAAGTCCTTAGTCTGAGATACTGACTTAGACCCACATAAACTAATATTACTAAATAAAAGAGAAGTAATTTTTAAAAATATGTATCATATTAATTGGGGACTGGTCTAATTTTCTCCCCCCTTTTGGTGCTGTATCTGTCAGGTTGATGTCAGTTTTGTGAGTGTGACGAAAAAGATGGAAAATTTCCATCTTTTTCAAGGCTCTGAAAAGGTTTACGCAACATGGAAAGACTCCTTAAAGCACTAAAGAGCTCATCTGTCTATCTTGGGTCAGGCACCAGGTTTTGAAGAAATTAAATGATAATTTTAAAATTACTAGAATTACTTCCATGGTGTTGGCCTCTTTTGGTTTTCTACTTCTTACATCAATTTCATTTAAAACATTCTTTTTCTTTAAAAAAAAAAAAATAAGCCTTTAAATATTTCATCGCCTTCATTCTATAGGTTTTGATATATAGGTTTCTCATTTTGTTATTTTCTAAATAATCTGTCATTGGTTTAATTCCTTTGTTGATCCTCAAATCATTCAAAATATTTTCTCATTTATAGTAGTTGACATTTTTTATTCAACTGTTAATTAATAAATTCTAGTTCTGTTGTATTAGAAAATATAGCCTATGAACTTTTGAAGTTTACTGATACATTCATTGTGTCCTACAATAAGACTACTTTTGGAAATATTCTATGGACACTTGAGAAGAACGTGTATATCTAATAATCAGCCAGGTAAATTTGTTTAAATTGATCTAAGTTAAAATTCATTAATTTTAACTTTAATTGAGTGAATGGTATGTGAATTACATTTCAATAAATACTTTTTTAAATTGTTTTAAGTTAGCTCTGTGAATATATATTTGCATGTTATCTATCGAGTAGTTCAAAAGCAATAAATTACAGCAAAAGTTGGGTTCGTTATATACTGAGCCACACTGACATGCCTTGCCATTTATTTTCATAATTTACAAAGCAGTCCCCTCTGGACGCTGACTCTACTTCCAGTCTTGGTCCTGGTCTTTCTCTGAGACGGTTTGCCCTTCAGGGTGATGAATGAACACGTGTTCAATTCCCCCATGTGCCAGATGTCATCTTTGCTCTCTCCCACATACCAGTTCCCTGGCCCTGCCTGGCTGCAGCCATGCTTGGTCCCAGCCAAGGGAGCAGTGCGCCAATGGCAGAAGCTTCAGAAACTAAAGTGGTTTGCTGTGGCCCAAATGGGGCCTGTGTGTCTGGGGTGCAGGGAAGGAAATGATGAGAGAGGAGCTGATTACTGAGGTGAGTATGGAGAGCTGTAGAGTTTTAAAGTTTAAATCCCGCAGGAGGTGGGAAGCCGTTGCTGGGAATGACATGGTCAGATGTGCTATTTCAGAAAGATCATGTTGGCAGCAATGTGAGGAGGGCAGACAGGAGTTCTAGTGTGGAACTGTCTAGATGAGAAAGGATGGGGGCCCTCACCGAGACAGCAGCAGGGGCACTACGAAGAGATGAATCTGAGTACATTTAGATGCGACAGTAGGCAGGTCAGATGATCAACCAGACATCAGGGGTTAAGGATGAGTCCTGGTTTCCGACTTGAGTATCTGCTGTGGAACCCTGGACCAGGCAGACAACCCTGGGAGGGAGCAGTGATACGGGCAAAGATGATGAACTTGGCCTCAGACCCCCATGGACTCTGAGATACAGGTAGGGGCCCTAAAGTGGAAATATCCAACAGTTACTTGGCTGCACTAGTCTAGGTTCAGAGTGAGACCCCCAGAAGAGCCCTATCCTGTCCTTGCTGGCTTTCTCCCTAGGGGCCAAATCCTGTTTCTTTTACTCCCATGGAATGGCTGGGATTATGTCATGAATTAACATATCAATTCCCCAAAGCTATAGTGCAGCATCCTGCCTGCCTGTGTGGCCTCACCCTTCCTGTGCCAGGCTGCAAACGTGAGCGGTCACACCGCACATCTCCCGGTGGAAGCAGAAGCACCGAATTCTCCCCGCTGCTCTTGCCCATTAAACATGGAGTGCAAACACCCACTCACCTTTATTCTCTCCTTGGAGAGAAAATAGGCAGTGGCGTGAAGCACATCAGCAGAATGTGTAGAATTGTGGTAGGGGTTAGAAGAATGATAATTGGCTTCAATAATCTGTAACCACGATCTCAGCGTTGACTCGGAGCAGTTTAAGAATTCACAGATTCCAAAGCGAGCAAACATTTTGAGACCAAGATAAATCAAAGGCCTATAGAGAAAAACATCCACAATGTTAAAACAAAGCAAAGAAGCAGGCAAAGCGTTTTGAGCTTTGCCAAAAGCTCAGATCCAACAAGCAAATCCGAGCCAGACTTCAGAGAGTACAGGGCAGCACAGTGGACATCACTTGGGCTGCACTGGCCTCTTCCTCTGGTAGCCACCAACTCTGGGGGAGTCCACGTCCACTTCCTGCCCTCAGGGGACCAAGCTGCTCAGGTGAGAGCTGACTGTCCACAGCTGCTCTGGCCACAGCCCCTTTTTTGGGGCTCCCCATTTGCTGGGGGAAGTTTGCTCACTCTGCCCTTCCTGATTCAAATTCCTACTTGCACTAGTAAATTCCTCAAAATAATCCCTTTTCCAGGCTAAACTTGTACCACTTTGAACCCAGTCCTCTCCTGTGGACTTGCTGGATATATGTCACTGGCCAGATGTCCTGCCTAGAAAAACATAACATTTCCTGAGAACTGCATATAAGCCAGATAATGCCACAAGTCATGTAATTTTCTCAATAATTTGCAGACAGGCATTATAGGATGAGGGGGTTTCCCCTGAGAAGGTGACCAATTGGCCACCAAGTTAGGCCCTTCCTTGAGAAGTCACCTTGACCCAGCATCTGGCCTTGGGCTTGGAAGGTCAAGAAACTTGGCTCTGCGGAGGCAGTATCCAGAGTCGATCATAGGACTTAAACTGACCTGCCTTAGCCTGACTTACAAGGATGCAATGTCACTAGTATGTAAACCAGGTGCTCAAAGATTTATTTGTCACGAGAGTATTCTTTTCCACTCTCCTTGGATGTGCTGGGTATGCAGAAGCAGAATGCATCAGAAGGTTAACTCGTGGAGAGCATCAGGAGAGTTGGGGCTGCTATTTTGGGACAGTTTGGTCAGACTGAGACGAGACCTGATGAATCATCCCCTGGCCCAACAGAGCACACCTCTCCTGACACACCCTGGAAGGCAGCCCTGGCTGGCGTTAGCTCTGTGGACTTCCCTCTCCTGTGTACGCAGCCAACCACCAGCTTTGGCTAAGAGCTCTTCTCCAGCAAGGCACAAAACTGAAGGCAAAACCACACTCCTGTTCCCACTCTCTGTGATCACACCCAGGGCAGGGTGACTGGGGGCTTTAGGTGTCCTCATGCCTGTCACCAACAGGGCCACCGAGATCTGGGAACAGCTCTTATCACACGTATATATGTGTTTCCAATAAATTTTGGTTCTGGGCTCTGAGCAGGGCTCTTTGCTGCTATTTTAACATACTCCCCCATATAGGAGAAATTAATATTCTCACTGCATGGGAGAAAGCCCTCTGCTATTTGGAGAAATTAAGTCACTGGCTCACTTGCACACTTTCCACCAATCTGCTCTCTTGGTCATGGCCAAGCAGCTCTCCCCCAGGCCCTGGTGATTCAGGGTCACCTGCTGCCCTGCTACTCCTTCCTTAGCTCCTCCCTGACCAGGGACCAGCTCTGCACACAATCCACACTCCTCAGGTGGGATCCTCATACAGGCCCCTGGGATCCAGCTCTCCATCTGCTGAGCTCCCCACGAACTCACCTATTGTGGGTGGCAGCCTCCAGTTCAAAAATATCAAAGTCCCAGTATTCCTCATTTTCCATGGCCTGAGCTATCCGTGGTGGGACATCGCAAAGGGAGATGGGAGTGATTATATTGCTTGAAACGTGCTGAATGCCTGCAAAGTGATGTAATTTGGAGAATAAAATTAATAGGCTTTATAACATTAACTGTTTCTTAGGGACAAGAGTACTGTATCAAGGGATGATTGCTTTGTCTCTGAGGTTTAATGACATACCAAGAAACTTCTTCCTGATGAGAAAAATTATTTGAATACTTGAATCTGAAAAAATTATTTTCATCACTTAAGCTAACATGCAACATCATAGCTAGTGATCCAAAAAACTAAAAAGGGAACTTACTTTTTGTTGAAAGAACATATTCATTCCCTGATAGTCTTCGCAAACCATCCTGATAAAAATTAAGGGAAAAAGAAGTCATGACTGTTATTTCCTTCTTGGAAACTCTAGGGGGTCAGTCGCAGGGGACAGCTCAGGGCAGCCCTCTCTACCAGCCCACTGCAAGGCTGCCCTGGGCCCAGCAGGCCCACCCCTGTGACCGTTGCTTACTGGGGAGCACAGCGGCCCAGTACTGGGAAGAACTGGCCTGGCCCTGCTGGAAGCTAAACTCACGGGCAGGGTCAACACCAGGGAGGTGAGTATGCACCTTTGGGAGAGGTGGCCCCGAAGCCCAGCGTTCCTGCTTGCACTCCAGAAGTGTTCCGGTTTCTTAGGGACAACTCCCCTCTGCCCCCAGTCTTTCCCACCATTTTCTTGCCACCCTCCTCACCTTAAGGACACTGGGCTTCCTTTGGAACACTAGATCCTTTCTTGCCTTCTAAGTGACTTCGCTCCCCCTAACTGACCCCCCTGGGCTCCTCACCGCTGCTCCCAGACCACTATCCCCAAGTCCGGTCTCAGCAGCCCCTCTCCTCAGGACACTCCTTGCCTACAGGCTGGAGGAGTCTCTGTCTCAAATAGGCAAGACCAAAGTTAGCTACTGTCATCGCTGGGAACCACTCTACCTTCTACCTTATTTTTATAAAATCAAGTGACTTTCAGAAAGCAGAAATTGGTAGGGAGGTGAATTTTATCTCTGACCAAGACAAAAGATGTCACAGAGCAATGGAATGATCTTTTTTGCCCACAGTCGCTCTTCCTGTGTGAGAGCTCTATAGCAGGTGGGCTGGGGGTGCATCTAGTACCCTTCAAGAGTCTATGGTACAAAGCCCCCTCTTGTGAAAGATTCCTAAACTCTTCTTTCCTATGAATTCACCCAAATTGGTGTGGGGTGCTATGGAGGTGAAACCGCGCTCCACCGCCGGGGCCTTTTGAAACACACGTGACAGGAGAAAGATAGTCTTTCTGTTTTGCAATTTGGTACGTGACAATGAACATGTTTTTCTTTATTTCTGCCCTAGTTTTCAAAATCCTTAGTATAACTAAAAAATTTCTGTTTAAATAAATTACTTGTAGAACCCCTAAGCAACACTGGAGAACCAGCTCAGTAGCCTGTCTGGGATATACTCCTCCGTTCCCTTCTCCCAGCTGAGGTCTCCCTAGGAGGCAGGCAGCGGGTGGAAGCTTGCCCAGAGAGCAGCAGGACCCAGCGCAGGAAGGAGCGCAGCCCTTGACCGAGCCTTGCACACAATGCCCTGCTTGCCTCTCCAGAGAGCTCTGTTGAAGGGAATAACCTCTGAGAAAGCAAGAACAGGGGGGCTCCAGCCAGCAGCCGGTCAAATCTACTTACAGACACTAAGGCGCCGACGAGATCATTGGCGTGAGGATCGTCATCCTTCGCACCGAACTGTGGTGAGTATAATTCAGTGGTTCTCAGAATCTCCAGCACACGGTCTAGGGCCTCTGTCACAGGCATGGGACTGCTTTCCTGGGCAGCATTGATAATATTGATTACCTACATTATGGAAAGAAAAAACTTGAGTTTTAACACCTTAAAAACAATGGGAGAGCAATCCAGAGTCGGGCTGGCGAAGTATTTAATGCTAACTTAAGCCTAGTTAAAACGTTCACGGCCCACATCCTCTTCCTTCAGAGCAGGCCGCGCCACACGAGAACGAGAGCATTCTTATTGTTGTGGGTCCCTGTTTCTTCTCACTGGAAACAGTTTTTGGGGAGAACAGGGCCTGTGTGCTCAGTGGAGAAGGACCACAAACCGCTTCACCTTGGTGATGGGCGCCTCAATTGTCATGGAATGTATCCGGGCCATGGAGGAGTGTCGTCTCTGGCTGGACACTGTGGAGAAAGGGATGCACGAATCAGGGTGTGCACTGCCTTGGACACCTGTCTTGATGGCCAAGGGCTCAGAGCCCTCCCTTCCTCCCCAGCCCCAGTGTGCTCGGCCGCGGGACGGAGGGTGGGACTAGAGCAACAGGGCTGCTGAGCCCCTGCCCATCCTACAAGCCCGGGATTCCGGCATAGCCAATTCTGCTCTCTCACTTCTAGGCACCAGGATGCACACATGCCCCCGTGGACTGAACTTCTGATGTCCCAGGCCAGAGGGAAACAGAGGAAACAATCTAGCAAGTCAAGGCCAAACAGTTAGCCTCTTTTTGTGTCTATAACAATAAGGCTTTATAATTATTCAGCTTGCCATTCTCCAGGAGTAAAAATGTTCTGGAAGACAATGCCACACAGGCTCTTTGTTTCACATATGTCAGGAGCAATAAATTCAACTCACTAATAACTGAAATACATCAGTTTCTGGTTAAATTTTTTAAGGCATCCTCTGGTGCTTTCCACTGTGATGTTTAATTAGGGAAACACCTTAAATGAGACAGGCAGCAACTCTTAGGCTCTAAAGTTTGTTAATTTTGTGTTGTTCCAGTCAAGACACGATTCCTTTGAGGTGGGGGGAAGTCTGGCCAATGACAGACAAGAAAAGAATATTTACAGAGTCCTGTGTATCTCTATGAATACCCTGTCCAGCCAAATGCTGCTTACCAAAGACCTTAAAATACCAGGACTGTCCCACAGACCGATGCATCAACTTCATTCTACCAATGAAGAAACTGAGCTGCAGGAGAGACACTGTCCATGGTTAACTAATTTGGTGGGCGGCAGGGGGGTCTCAAACGTTTTAAATTTGAGACCAACAAAACTTAAATCTAAGTTTGGTGACCAGCATAGGGTTGCCAACTTTCCATTTCACCCAACAAGGTCATTAAACCAAAAATAAAAACCACTATCCATTTTATCACCGTCATAAAAGGACGTATTCTCATTAAAAAATGTAATGAAAGTGACATATGCTTATTAAAAACAGTAGAGATCTACCGTACAACATGGTGACTACAGTTAATGACAATGTATTCTATTCTTGAAAATTGTTAAGAGTGTATATGGTAAGTGTCCTTACCACAAAAAATGATAAGTAGGTAAGGTAATGCATATTTTAATTAGCTTGAGTTAGCCATTCCACAATGTATACATATCTCAAAATATGTTGTACATGACAAACATATATAATTTTGTCAATTAAAAAATAAATGAATTTGAAAAAATAAAAGAGTATAAACAGAATAAGGTAAGAAAAAAATAAAAGGTATAAAGACTGTTGTGACCTCATATGCAGAAAGCCCCGAAGCATCTACAAATGCACTGCTCTGCCCTATAGTCAATGAGTAAGTTTATCAAAGCTACTGGGTACAACAAGGTCAATATACAAAAATCAGTCGTATTTATATATACCAACAATAAGCAACTGGAAATGAAATAAAGATTACCATTATAATACCGAAACCCTTCAATATCTAGGAATAAATCTAATGAAAGATTTGTAAGATTTCTATGATGAAAACGCAAAACATTGCGAAGAGAAAACAAAGATAGCCTAAATAAATGGAGACAGCATGTGCATGGTTTGAAAGACTCGGTATTACTGAGATTTCAATTTTCCCCAACCTGATCTATAGTTTCAAGGCACTCTGAAAACAAATCCTTGGGGGGCGTGTGTTCGTGTAAACTAACAAGCTCATTCTAAGTGTTATGTGGAAATGCAAAGAACCTAAAATAGCCAAGACGGTGAAGAAGAACTACTGTGTATAACCGGATAATCAAGACTTACTATGAATAATCAATTGTGATATTAGTGCAAGCATAGACAAACAGAAAAATGGACAGAATAGTCTAGAAACAGATCACATATTCATAGCAACCTGATTTACAATAATGGTGCTATGGCAAAAGATGGTTTTATTCCCAGTATGGTGATAGCAGCTGGATTTCCACAATGGGGGTAGGGGTGGGGGGAACCATCCTTAATCCCTACCGTGACCAGATATAAAAATTTGAGATGAATTACAGAAGTAAAGTAAAAGATAAAACAATACAGCTTCTAGAAGAAACGATAGAATATCTTCATGACCTTGGGATAAAGAAAGATTTCTTAAGCAGCACACAAAAAGCACTAGCCATAATATAAACACTAATAAAATGAACCTCATTAAAATTAAGAACCTCTGTTCATCAAAAAGCACCACTAAGAAAGCAAAAGGCAAACCACAGACGAAGAAAATATATTTGTGATACTAGATGACTCATATCTGGAATATATAAAGAATTTCTATAAATTAACAAGAAAAAGGCATACAGCCCAATTATAAAAATGGGCAAAAGACTTGAACAGCACTTCAAAAAAGAGGATATCCAAATGGCAATAAGCATATGAAAATGTGCTCAACCTCATTAGCCATAAGGAAAATTAAAATTAAAACCACCAGAATGGCTCGATTTTAAAATGCTGGTGTTATCAAGTTGGGGGAGACATAGAAGAACTAGAACTCTCATAGAGTAATGAGGACAATAACACGGTGCAACTCACATTGGAGAATTATTTGCAGCTACCCTAAGGCCCAGCAATTTCACTCCTAGGTAGGAGATGAGCACATCATGTCCACAAAAAATGAGCTGTATAAAGACATTCACGGCAGCCTTATTCTTAGCAGCCTCAAAGTGGAAGCAAAACAAATGCCCATCAGTAAGAGAACGGATAAACAAACTGTGGCATGTTCACACAAGGGAATGCCACTGAGCAACACTGCTCGTACGCCTAATACGGACGCATTTCAGAAACATTAAAATGAGTGAAAGAAGACAGACCCAAAAGGGTACATATTGTATGATTCCAATTCTATGAAGCACGAGAAGCGGCCAAGTTAACTTACGGTGCTGAAAATCAGTGGTTGCCTCTGGGTGGTGAAAGCTGTGTTTGTGTGTGTGGATTTTCTGTATCTATTTTGGGTGGAAGAGCCACACTCCTCCCTGTAACACCACACAGCTTCCTCGCTGGCACTGCCCGACCCTGCCCTCACAGCAGGGCTGCAGACTGCATAGTCTGTCTGGTGTAAGGACGTGAGGGCAGGCACCGGATCTCCACGGGATAATCCTAGCTGGTACCTCCTTGGAAAGCTGTGGCTTTTGAACCAGCTCCGTATCTTCCCTATTCCTCTTGGCCTAGGAATGTACACAGCCAGTCGTAATATTCGCCTCCAAACTCTCTAAAAGCAATTTTGATTACATTCTTAAAAGTTAGGTCATCATACATCTACATGATCTTTAAAAAAATTATTTTTCAATTAGAACTTAAATAATATTTGCTAAATAAGAATCTTTCACCATCCCGAAATCGTGCTCACCTCTCCCTAAAAGGCAAACCGCAAGCCACACCAGAATATATCTTTAAGAAGTGCTTTTATCAAAAAGATAAAAAAATAGTAAATGAGGGCAAGGATGTGCAGAAAGGGGAACGCTCACACACTGTTGGTGGGAATGTAAAGTAGCACAGCCATTATGGAAAATAGTAAGAAGGTTCTTCAAAAAACTAAAAATAGAATTACCATATGATCCAGCAATCCCACTGCTGGGTATACATCCAAAAGAAAGGAAATCAGTATATCAAAGAGATATCTACACGCCCATGTTTACTGTAGCACTATTCACAATAGCCAAGATTTGGAATCAACTCGTGTGTCCCCCAACAGATGAATGTGTAAAGAAAAGGTGGTATATGTACACAGTGGAATATTACTCAGCCATAAAATAGAAAATAGTCCTGTCATTTGCAGCAGCATGAACGGAATTGGAGGTCATTATGTTAAGTGAAAAAAGCCAGACACAGAAAGACAATTATATATTCTCATGTGTGGGAGCTAAAAAAAACGAGGATCTCATGGAGGCAGAGACTGGAATGGTGGTTACGAGTGGCTGGGAAAGGGAGGGTGGAGAGGGACATGAAGAAAAGTTGGCTAATGGGCACAAAAATACCATTATAAACAAGGAATGAGTTCTAGGGCTGGACAGTGCAGTAGGGAAATTAGAGTTAACAATAATTTATTGTATATTTCAAAATAGCCGGAAGAGAAGAACTGGCATGGTGCCAACACAACGATAAATGTGTGAGGTGATGGATATCTCAATTACCCTGACATGACCAGTACACACTGTATACACAGGTACCCCCAAAATATGCACAGCTGTGACATATAAAAAAAAGAATTACCAAATGCATTACTCATACAATTACAGCAAATCAATTGCCATCTTCTGCTATTACAGTTTAGAAAATCAACTATAGAATACATGGCAAATGTATTTTTTCCTTTTCTTTATTCCCTGACTCCATTAAAAGGCTCAGAATGGAGCCCAATGGCAGGAGTTGAGGGAGAGGGAAAATGGGACATAGGTTCCCACAGGTCCCCTCCAATCTTGAGAAATGGGGGAAGACAGCGACCAGGAACGAGACGAAGGGGAGAAGGTCAGGCCTCCAGGTGCCCAACACTGATTTGGTCACATTTTCGTCTCTCATCTTTGTCACTCACCTTCACCTGATCGGGAGGCGATAGCTCTGACGTCCAGTGAGCCTTTCCTTCTGTCTTTATGTTTGCCTGTCTGATTATCTGTGGAAACAAATTATAAATCATTTCTTCAAAGAGATTTTAACAACATATTAAAACATTACTAATCTAAAAAAATTTCTAGAAACCCTCAACTTTAAGAATCAGAACATGATTTAAGATGCTACAAAAACCAGCACAGTGCAGAGAGATGAAGACCATGAACAGCTCAGCGTCCAGGGGGCTCACTTTCTCAGCATGTCCCAGGGGTGCGCTCATAAAAGCAGTTGCAGAGTCCCGTGCAGAGTAACAACTGACAGGAATAACCTCTGGAGAGTTTCTCCTATTACATTTCTGTATCACTGAGTACAGTGGTGGAAACATTTTGATCCCCATCTACCCTGGCCCCAGAAGAAAACAATCTTTCATTTATTTTCTGTAAAATATCCCAGGGAGAACATTATTCTCTTTTCTAGGGTAGTACAGAGACACTGTTTAGGGTTTATTTCAAATGACAGTCCATCCTTCTCCTTCTGATCCTCTGTTTTCAGTGACGGGCACCACTGCTCTCTCCCCCTGACCCCATGCCAATCACTGACAAGGCAGGCTGGCCTTTCTACCCGTCTCCTCCTCTGCGCACCTGCTGGGTGCCATGTGTGGTGCTGGGGGCTTTGCAGGCTGCATTACATGTCCCCACTCCCCATGTCACAGACCAGGAAACGGAGCTGCTTGCAGATGAGCGCACGGCAGCGCTGGTGCTTGGCTCAGCTCTCGTCTGCCCCGTGGAAGACTCCGCCTTATCGCAGCTTCCCCACCTGGAAGCCCTTCTTTCCCTGCTCATAGACAGGATCCAAATGCAGGCCTTAGTGCTCCCTCTGCGCCAGCAAGAGGCTCTTCACTTGCTCTTTGCTTCTTTACCCAGCATAAACTAGATCTCCATGGGCACTGACGGTGAACTTGTCAAGGTCACCAACGACCCTCCTTGTTGTTAACTCTGAAGGCCACAATTCAATCTTTACCTGATACGACTTGATTGTGGTTCTAGATACAACTGATCCCTCTTCTGGACACTCCTGTTGGCAGAGTCCACAGTCTCCTGGTTTTCCTTCCCCCTCTTACTATTCCTTCCTAGTTCCTTTGTGGTTTCCTCTTCCTCAGACCCCAGGGTGTTTCCAAAGGTTGTATCCTTAGCCGTCCTTCTCCTCTCAGTCAACAACCTCCCTGGGAGATCTCACTCCCTCCCACGGCTTTCGTTAATTCCTGTGTTGTCGTCGCACCCCAGGCCTGTCTCCCAAAATCCGGACTCGCATCTGCACGGGCCACTTGGCACTCCATTTGGACACTGCTCAGGCAACGCCAATGAATTCGTTACCCACGACGAACTCATCTTTTTTCAAATCTGCTCCTCAACCCAGGACACCAGACAGCATCTGCCTTTTTGCTTGACCTAGAGATAAGTCATCTGTGACTTCTCCCCTTCCTCTCTCCTCTCCTTCAACTGGTCAGCCAAATCTATGGATTCTACCTCCTAAATACCTCTTTAGTCTTTCCTCTGCTCTGTTGCTGTGTGAGCTCAGACACTCGTCATCCTCTCTGGATCCTAACAGCAGCCTCTACATCGACCCTTGCCCCCTTCCACCCATTCCCCACAGGAAGCCAAGCAATACTTCTAAAACAAAAATCTGACCAGATCACTCTTCCAATTAAAACACTTCAGTGGCTCATCCCTGCTTTTAGGATAGGACTCAGACCCCTCAGCGTCACGTTCAGAATCCTGTGAGGTCTGGACTCCCTCTCTCCAGCACCAGGAACTATATGATGCATTAGTTGGCCTCCCAAACCTCTATGTCATGATCAAATGGCTTACTTGGGAATGTACCCCTCCCATGTCACCCTCTTCACCTGGTTAACTCTGCTCCTCTTTGAAGATGCAGTTAAGATGCAGTTCAGATATCTCTGCCTTTGGGAAACCTTCCCTTAAAACCTCCCACACTACCCCAACAGTGCTGGGTAACTTGCCAACTGCAAGTGACTTGAGGATAGGGACAGTCTCTCTTTTCTCTTTCCCAGGTGACCAGCACTGTGCATGTAACAGATGCTCAAACACCTCTGCATTCCTGTGCACAAATGAAAGTCCTATTAGGTGCAAATCGAAGTCCTCTGATTCCACGGCTCCCCTGCTCACAATCCTCCAGCAACTCAGAGATAAAGAACTTCCTGGCGTCAAGGACAGGCGCGCCCTGCCAGCAGCAGCCTGCCTTTCATCTCTCCCATGTGTACCACGCGTGTGCTGCGTCAGCACGACCGCTTTGCACTGTCTCCGGAGCAGCCTTGACATCTGCTCCTTCTGAGACATGACACTGCACCCTCTCCAAATGCTCACTCCTTCAAAGCGCACCTCCTCTCAGCCACACGCAGTCCGAGTGCCTCTCCTTTCTCTGAGCTTCGTGATGATTAACAGCCATACAGCTGCCTGATAAGACCGCACTGCGAACTTACGGTTTGTTCCTTCGTTCTTCCCCCTTTTATTTTACTCAACCAACACTGGGCACCCGCCATGTGTCAGGACCTAAGCTAGGCTTTAGGGATGGGAAGATGGATAAGGTATGGTCCACGCGCCCAAAGGGAGAGTCTAGTGGGGAACAAAGGTGGGTAAACTTAGAGTCACGGTGGTAAGTCTGAAGCAGGAGGAGCCCAGAGGGGACGTGGCAGACCCTCCTCTGAGAGTAGGGGCAGAGAGGAGAGGGATGAACTGCGTCTCGGGGCTGCAGCCAAGAGGAGGAGGAAGGCTCGTCCAGGAGGAGGGAACTGCTTGTGCAGACGAGCAGCGTGTGTATCAAGGGCAGGGCTGCGCCAGGAGTGCAGGAACTCAGCAGGCTTTAATCTCTACTTAGACACTTTAAAGCCACTCATCCTCCTGCTCCCAACAGTCCTGTTGAGCTCGCTGCTCCCCCTCTCAGTCCCTGCAGCGCTTTATATGGGTGATTCTTTAGCGACTGTCACCCAGCCTGTCTCCCCAGCGTCCAGCTCTCAGAAGTCCCCTCAGGGACACCAAGGGAGGAATACAGCTGTGAGGTTGACATGTCAACGAGCCTGAAGCTCCTGGAGCAGCACTGAGCCAGGGCCTCACACTCGGTCAGTGCTCAATGCGCACGCACTGATCTGAGGCGCTGGGCCTGCCAAGGAGCGAACACTAAATGGGCCTCCATGACCGGGGCTGGGCTCAGTACCATCTGCAGCCTCGTGTCTGCTTTTGGTTTCCTGTTCTGTAAAATGCGGTCCTCACACTCTGTCTGTCTTTTCAGTAGAGAACAATTAGCAGTGTTGCCTTGACCTGCTGGGCACACCCAGGCGACCCTGGAGCAGCAGTGGGGCACGCAGGGGAACAGTGACCAGTCGGCGCCCCTCACACACAGCAGCTGCCCCCGCACTCACGCCAACCCTGAGGCTTGCAAGAATGAGCTCCAGGTTGGATATGAGGAAGCTGAGGCCGAGGTATCTTAGGCAATTTGTCCAGAAGTCACTCTGATGGGACCACAGTACACTGTCAGAGCATTTCCTCGGTGCCGTCAACAGCGCAAGCACTTGTGCAGGGCGTGCTCTGCGCCGGGACCGCCTGCCAACCGCCAAGTCCGCAGCCCGTCTGCAGCATCGGACACCGTTCCTACCGCCTCCTCCTGAGCAAGCTCACTTTCTCCAGAAGCAGACCAAACCTCCACGTCCTTCCAGTGGTCTGTGAGGCCAGACCCCTCCATGCCAGCTGAACTGGAACGTGTCACACTACTGGCAAGGCCTGTCGACCCCTCCTCATCCCCTGCATCCCCTTTCCCTGCTTTATTCTCCACAGAACTTAGCACCATCTGATACACTCTGTATTTATTTCCTTCCTGTCTACCACACCCCCTCGTTGGAATGCAGGTTTCTCACAGAGACACGACACAGCCTGGCGTGTGGGTCTGTGCGCCGACTTTTGGCTGAATGAATGAATTCTTCGTCCTGCTCCCTGATGCTCCCCTGCCAATCCCTCAAACATCCACCCCTGCCAGGTCCCAGGCTTAGTGCTGTCTTCCTGCCTCGCTTCTGCTCTTCAGGAGAGCTGGCCCAGGGCTGTCTCCAAATGCCACCAGGCACCTCTCCTGGAATGTTCCAGGCACTTCAGATGTAATAAGTTCAAGTCTAAATTTGCTATCCTCTCCCTGTGTAAACTTGCTCTTTTTTTATTATAAACTCTCTTAGCTGCACTTGTTATTTTAATTAGCGTTATCCAGTGGCCAAGCTAGAAATCGTGGTGTCATCCTCAAGTATTCTGTCTTTGTCCCACGCAGTAAGCTGGCTCCCAAGTCCTCCTGACTACACTCAAGTCATTCCTGAATGCAGTCTCTATTCTCCACAGCATCCCCATCTTAGACTATCTAAGAACTGACCCTTTTTCACTTACCTACTTACAAAGATTCTCTTGGCCTTCCTCTGCTTGCAGGATGAATGCAAACTGGCCTACTGCAGCCTTGCCTGTCTCCACGCCTTTGTGCATCTGCTCCTCCCACCTGGCCCTCTGGCTGGCCCCCACTTCTCCTCCAGACACCAGCTCAACCTTCATCATCATCATCATCATCATCACCATGGCGTGGAAACATCCCCCAGGTCTCCCCCAGGGTGGTACTACAAAGTACAGTGTATTCAAATTGTCTCCACCTGCCATCAGACGGTGAACTCCAAGTTCATTTCTGTGAGTCTACAGCCAGGCTCAGGGCCTGACCCAGAGTAAGGTTTGCAGACTGGACAGTTGTCACTACAACCACCCGGTATCTTTAGTGAAACACAGCATCATGTGAAAATGACATACAGGCCAGGGAAAAGGGAACATGTGCTGGGACTTATTACTTTTCTGGATGCCCAGACTCTGAACCTTCTTTCCCATGCCTGGGGAGTTCCAAGGCCTCCCACCACAGAGGGGAGCAGGCCGGAGACTCCCCTGCTCCATACCCAAGTTAGAGCTGGAGCAGCAGGTACCCCAGGCCCAGCCAGATGACTGAGTGGTTCCTCCCAAGAATCTGCACTGGAACGAGTGACGCAAGAGGTGAGGGTATGGAGAAGCCACGCTGCCCATGGTGGGACAGCAACGCCCCGTACCTGGACCTCCACAGGGCCGTGGCATGCCTAGGGCAGGGGGAGAGCTGCCCAGCTTTCCGTGGTTCCCGTCCCCTTTTCAAAAATTTATTCTAGAGCTTTCTTGTCCAATCTGTAAGCAACCCTATTTCCTTCCAAAAAACTCCCTTCCAGCTTAAGAACTGATTTCTGTTGTGTGTCACCAAGGACTTTGGCTGGTCCATGGCCTATAAAGCTCCACCTGCCCTCCCGAGGCAGGACAGCCAGCTGAGACCTCTGGACGTAAAGCTGCCAGGAGGGGAGGAGACTGGACGGGCAGGCGGCCCATGGGGGTGAGATGCGAGACTCCCACATGAGTGCTGCTCAAACGAAATGACCAAAGGGTCGGCATGAATGCGGTTTGGGAGATTCTTCCCCGGCCTAACATTTCTGGTGACTGTGTCACTGGCTCTGCCTCCCAGTCCCAGTTCTGTCATATCCTGGCTGCCCAACTCTAGGCTGTCACTGAACTTTTCTGAGCCTCAGTTTCTTCCTCTGTAATATAAATGAATGTAAATAATAGCCAAGACTACTTTCTAGGGCTACTCTAAAGAATTAAAAAAACAAAAACAAAACCTAAACCAAAAACAAGTAAAAATGCCCTGTGGGCTTGCACAGTAGCACTCGTGTAACAGGTCTACACCTGCTGCTTTGCCCGACTGCTCCATCCCTGCAATTTGGCTTCTGCCCTCACCACTTTCCTGAAACTACACTTCTACAGGTCACAAATGAGCTCCTGGATGCAAAAGCCAAAGTTCCCATCCACCTATGGCTGCATATTCCCCCATTCCTTCCTCTGTGCGATTCAGCCTGACACTTTCGATGCTTCCAGCTCTCCCAGCCCTCGGCTTCGGTGACACTCTCCACGCTTCACTCAACACGTCTCCGTGAGTTCACGCGTTTGAGTTGACCGGGTCTCTCCTACAGGCCTCAGCCCCCAAGTGCTCAGGTCCTTCGACTCATAAACTAACCTGGGGAGTCAGGGAGAGAGATGCTGCCACGGGGCTAGGAAAACACACTCCCACCACTGCACCAGGCATGCCAGTCAGAGGAAGAGTCTGTTTTCATTTTTTTTCCCTAAAAACTCAGTGAACCCTAAAAATAAACATGGGGCACCATACCTGTATTAGTGTCAGACTGAACACATTCAGATATTTTCTCAGCCTAAAAATGAATTTTAAAAGCCATTAGTTCCGATTGCTTGGAAATCTTGCTGGGGTGTGCCTGGGGTCCAGGGCTCTCCTTACTTACCTTACTGTTGCCGTTGCACACTCGGATAATCGACACATAGTGTCTAATTTTTCTGCAAGTAGAAAACAATGTATTAGTTCTCTCCTGACTCTAATTTCATGTATGTGTCATTAATTTTTCATTATGAAAGAGCACCTCCCTTTCACAATACATATTAATAAAATGCTTTGAGGAAAGCATTTCTATTTTTCTGTGGCCGAAGCCACCAATAAACAAACAAGAGTTTACAAACATCCTTTGGTATCTCTGTAGAAAAGAAGTGACCTCAGTGAAAATGACCAAATTCCTCCCAAGTCATCATAACAGGTAATAAAACACACACACGTTTTTTAGAAATGTGCTGCATATTAACCAATCAGGACCCTTTAGTTCCTTAACATGTTTTTATTTTCACAACCTTTTACACCAATGCTTTTCTTCAAGCTCCGACAAACAATTTGCTCATAGTCACTCATGGCAACAGCCACAGGCCACACTGGGGCCAAGGTTCCCACTGAACTCAGCTAGAACAGACGTCTCACACAAAGCGACCAGGGCTTAGCTCAGAAGCTGCTGACTCTTCTCATTTATGTATTGTTCCTTCCGTTTTTCCCTTTGATAATCAAATCCCTATATATTTATCACAAAAAATTTGGAAAGGACATAAAAAGGCAAAGAATCAGAACAGAGGGCTCACTCAGATCCGTGTCCCTGAGGCGATCGCCAACTGGCAGCAAAGCCTGGTGACAAAGCACGTGAGCTGTGCGGTCAGTGCTGAAGTCTGTAGCTGGCTCTGCCACGTGCCCGCGGCAGACCCCAGGCCAGAAAAACCTGATCTAAGCCTCAGTTTACTCATCTGTCCAATGGAGACGAGCGCAGCACCACCCTCACAAGGCGGCAGTGAGGACGAAATAAAGCAGCATCTACCAGGGACGAGCGCCAGGGCAGGGAGAGAGGGGCTCAGCAGGCAGCAGCAGTTACTGTAACTGCCACGCTTCCTGCTATTTTTTCTTTCTTTCCTTTTCATGACTGAGATCATAGATTAGGTAGGATTTTACATTTTCACTTTTTGCATTTAACATTATATCATAAGCTTTCTCCTTGTCATTTAATTTTCTATGATCATCATTTCTAATGCTTTCATATTTTACTGTTGGGTGTTCCACAATTTATATTCATAACTTTTTATTTTCCATATTATTTAATATTTGTCTGAGACAAATTGAAATTTTTAAGTTCCTGATTATGCTGATTTCCAAACTATAGTTACATCTGTTTTATATAAGAATTTCCATAACCGTTAGTATTTTTAAAAATTTTATCTAATTTGATGGGCCTTTTGCAGAAATAACACATAGCCTATCGAATTAGAGAGAAATATTTAAAATATAAATATAAGGAATCTACAAGTTAGCTTTTTTTTTTTTCAAATTCCTCAGCTCAAGCAATCCTCTTGCCTCAGCCTCCTGAGTAGCTGAGACTATAGGCACAAGCCACCACGTCCAACTAGTATCTTTTTACTTTTTGGGGAGACAGGGTCTTGCTACATTGCCCAGACTGGCCTGAACGCCTGGTCTCAAGCAATCTTCCCTTGGCCTCCCAAAGTGGGATTACAGGTGTGAGGCACTGTGCTGGGCCTCCAGTCAATATTCTTGTAACACAACTTAATAAACTGACATTCTAACTTAAATATAAATACTTCAGCCTCTTGTGAGCTGAACCTTCATGCAGCTTAAACAAGACTGTCCCAAGTGGTGGCTCTGGGTTGCAGGTGGAGGGTCACATTGTAGCCATGAGGAAATCACCAAGGAAATGCCACCCTGGAAAGGCCATTCTGTAATGACACCTGACCTCGTTACAAACCTTACTTTTAAACTCTTGCAAACAGCTCTTAACTTACTTAAATATTCAGAGCAAATTTTACAACAACCTCACACTGGTGTGCTGACTGACATACTTGTTTTTTTCCACTTACCCTCCCTGTCCAAGGACAGGTATTATCTTCACATTTTGCTGTACATTATCTCCATTTTTCTTTTTGGTGTAGTAAACTCCTTGCCACTCCTATAAATGGAATGTGAGTATCATTATACTTTGTGTTCAAAACACAAACCCAAGAACATTTTCCACTTTAGTTCCCATTCATGTACCATTGCTAAAGCAATTAGGGTAAAAAACATCCTAACCTCAAACCCAATTTCGGGTAATCAGACAATTCTTTCTCAGCCTCCAAAGTCCATCTCCTCCTGGGTTGCTGACAAAAGTCACGCCGACACAGTCTAAATGGGCATATGCTTTCAGTGACTACCTACTGGCAAGAGGGGTTCTGAGCCCGTGAATCAAGAGCTCTCCCTCAATGCACAGCTTCCTCCTCTCGAACTCCCACATGCTGCAGCGCAGCAGGGAGCTTGGCCTTTGCCCTGTGTTTGGGAGGGAAGAATCTCAGGACTGGGGCTGGGAAGGGCCATTTCATGACCACTACCATGGCAGGTTGCTACTAGCTCCTTGGTCTGAACAGCTGGAGGTCCATCTGGGCTGTGTGAGGGTTTCAGTCCCTCTGCAAGTAGGGTGGGATGATGAGGTAACGGCCAGGACCCAGCTCAGGTAAAACAATAGATGCGATCTCAAAATCCAGAACTGGAATCACATTAGTTGTGCTCTCCTGATTCTTTCAGATAGGAACTGCAGTCTGGGTGAGCAGGAGTGAGCAGGACAGCACCGCAGCAAGAGACCAGGGCTGTAGTGGCTCATCTAGGAGAGCTGGGGACAGAACTGGGTTTTGTCACCATCCTAAAAGGTACTGAATTCCTCCAAGAAGTCACCAAGGTCCCCTTAAGCTATGGAAATCCCTAAAACCATTGCAGGACACTGAATTCCTAGGGTGTTCCATAACCTTCTTGACATACCAGAGTCCCTCAGGACCTGGAGTTGACCAGGCTGGAAAAGGACCGCCATGGCAGCCTTGTTGGCTTAGCTGAAGTCTCCTGTCCAGACCCTTACTCAAGGTCAATTCTGAAATCCTCTGTGCTTGGGGCGTGGCAATCTGCATGCAAATGCCAATGGTAAGACCCATCTTCAGACTCCTCTGGGAAAGTGGAGCAAAAAGAAACCAGGAGATGCTGACAGAAGCAAAGGATGATTACTGATGGTTCCTGATATAATTCTGAAAACAATGGGCCCCAAAAGAGGACTGCATCGAAAAACAGCAAGCGAGCCCACTCAGTGCTTAGCTCACACCGGAGCAGAAGAGGGGTGCAGGGGTACTCAGTAGAGTACCAAGGGGAGCTCAGCCTGGAGAAAGAGGCCTGTGGCCAAAACCAGGAAGGACTGAACAGGGATCACTAGGCAGGAATGAGCAGGCTGCCTTCCATATCCACAACTTACACTGTGTCCACCTTAAAAGCCTTCAGCAAGTAGGTCTAAGGGTTACTTCTGAAGCTCACTATCAAGAGAAATATGGGAAATTGTGATGTTTGCAAAATTCTGTGAATACACTAAAAACCACCAAATTGTATACTTTAAATGGGTGAGTTGCGCAGCAGGGGAATTACGTCTCAATAGAGCTGTTACAGAAAAAACAGAAAAATATAGGTGACCAAATCAACCAATCAGTTAGCATTTTAAAAAATATATTCAGGATTTTCTGCTCTAGTCCTTCCTGAATAGACCAAGTCCTTTCTGACCAATCCCAAGCCAAGGTATAACTGGTCATTCCGGCCAAAGCTCCACAGTCCACCTATAGGAACAGAACAATTGAGCCAACTTGGCTTTGGGTGATAGAGTCACCTCTAAGTTTTCTAGTCACCAATGGAAACAAAAAATATTTATTTATCACAAATATAAGATTTCGTTCCTAAGGATAATAAGAGTACTACCTCGGCATGTTGTCACGTAGATTAAGTTGGGTAGTGCACATAAACTCAGCACAGTCCTGACACGTGTGGTGAACATTCAGTAAATGGCCTGGTTCAGGCACACATGGATTTGCACAGGCCTCTCTCCCAGCCCTCTGCGCTGGGCTTCTCTGGCTATGACTGGCTATGACTGCAGTCCCTCTTGGCGCCCATTGTCTTGAGAATTAAATCATCGGCTCCAGCTGTCCTATCCCCAGGGCGTGCACGTGGTAAACAATCCAGGAACATTTGGGGCTTTTGTTTACTGAATGGGAAAAGTAGGCTGAGGTCAACTATAGCATCCTGCCTGCCAGGCTAAGGAATCTGAGCTCTACAGTGAGGGAGCAACACAACTAAATGAAGATTTAGCAAGACTAATCACACAAGAGTGCACAGTGGACTGAGTGCAGGTGGAGACTCATGGGACCTAACTGGATTCAGCCACCATAATTCCAGAGGGTGGGAAGAAGGCCCTGAAGAAGGCCAGGCCTAGGCATAGACACTGAAAGGCAGGGGTTTACCAGCCGTCAAGGCTTGATGATGGAGAAGACCAAAGGGCAGGGAGGAATCAAAACCATTCTAAGAATCTAAGTGAAAACACCTGCGAGGATGGCCCATGAGCAGAGACGACAGGGGCTAGAAAAGACACTGGGGTGTTTATGGGAGAGGAGAGAAAATCACCGTTAGACAATTGAATTTCAAGGTGACAGCAGGATGTTGAACCAGACCTTGGAAAAGAGGCTGAGACTAAAAAGAGAGGTGTGAGTTCTACACAGAGCAGAAGAGAGACCCCAATGACAGAGGAGCCAAGGGACAGCAGCAGGGAAAGGCCAGATCCTGGTAACCCTGGGGGAGTTCAGAGGAAAGAAGGCAGGAGAGGGGCCGGCAAGGAGGAAGCAGGGATGGGAGCCAGGAAGGTGCGAGTCTGGAGAGCTCAAGGCATCTGCAGCTGCGCATCCTCATCACAAATGGGCATCTGAGCAGCCACATTTCGCCAGCACCTATGACACGCCGGGGAAGGACAGCACAGTGTCTGAGGGAGAAAAATACCACGATTTCTAAAAGAGAAGAGACAATGTGAGACTTGGGTATCTATGGGTTCTAGAGCCCTGGCAGAGAAGTCCTGGGGAAGAAGAAGAGAGCGGAGAGTGAGGGCTGTGCACAGTGGCAGGAGGGACGCATGGCGCGGTACTGGCAATCGGGTGCCGACACCTTTTCCTGTCACCGGAAAGAGGAACCACTGGCTGAGAACGATGAGCAGAGGCCTGAGGAGAGTAGTAAGTGTAACATTCTCTGCTTGAATGTCACCAGAATTTCTCTTCTGCCCCCAGGAATATCCAACTGAGACACCCAGTACCTAGACTCCAACCCTGCAGTGCCCCAGCCCCGGCCACTGCCTAGGGCTCCCGCTGCCACTGCGGCCTCCAGTGGATGTCTGAACTCTCCTTACCGATCACAGCACCTCTCTTCCATAAGGCCTGCTGACTCCTCAACAAGACCTTCTCCCTGGGGACTGAATTAGGAAGGCTATATATTCTTTCACCTCAAAACACTGGGCAGCCTGTCCTGCTGTAGTGTTGCCAACAAACCAGCAAGTTACTGACAAAGGACAAAGGGTCACTCTCCCCCCAAAACAAATAACCAGGCTCCCAATAAAGCAGTACAGGCATCAATAATACAATAATCTTTCCTAGTCTTTGCTCACAATAAATAGAGATTTTAGAGAAATGGTCTCCTATACAACTTTGAGGGCCCAGCAGCATAACTCCAGCAGAGGTGAGGCGCTGCCCGCACAGACCTGGATGCATGCCGGGGCTGGGACTAATCCACAGAACACCCCTTCCCTACCTCCACTCGCCCTCCTCAGTGAGAGGGCCACACAGTGCCTCAGTACAGGTGTTGCCAGATCAGGTGCACAAAGGCCATCCTGGGTCATTCCCAGCTGAACCTCACAACAAAACCACTGGCTAACCCAGCGGCAGCAAGGAACCACAATGCCAGCCTCGGGGAGGCCATGGTGAAGCCCCGCCCATGCTGCTGTGGTCTGAGATGACTGCTCCTCTGTGGCCCCCTTCTGAGGACACCCTTCCCAACCACAGCAGGGAACACACGATCTAACCCGTGTAGTGACCTGAGCACCCGAAGGCCTCTTCATCCACATCAGCCTTCATTTCCCTCTTTCTGGGAGACCTTCCACTCCCTCTAGTAAGAAAAACAACACCCTTGACAGAAAACTTGACGGCAAAGTAGGACTTGAGCAGTGCCTACTTCTGTCATTACGCTGGTGTGCATCACCGGGCCCTGCAGACAGCCCATTCTTTCCTTGTTCTCATTTCATGCAGTCTCGTGGCTGGCTCAGAGCCATGGGCAAAACAAAGGGAAGCAAGTCCACTCAGTGTCTTCAAGGCGCCAGACCCCAGTGGGGTATAAGCTCCGCACAGCACCCTGCCCTGCGGCAGGCTGCTTATTTTGTGCTACGGGACAGTCCCGGCCAAACGCCGCAGGGAAGCGGCATCGCTTCCACCAGTGCCTCCGCAGAGTGAGCAGGACAGTGGGTCACCAGGTTTTCAAATATTTCAAACAATCAGGTTAATAGCTTCTACCCAGTTTTCCAAAACGATAAGAAGCCCCGCAAAAGCACAGCAGAAAGGATCGAGAATGCTCGTGAAAAGCAGCAGACTCTTCCTTCCCATCCTGTGGTGACCCTGAAACACTGAGGTGCTGGCAGAGGCTGTGGCACAGAGAGAAACTGCCCTGAGACTGAGCCGGACCTCCATCTACCTGCTCCTTCAGCGCCGCCGGGAGGGGCCTTCTCACAGCGCCGTGCAATGATTTCCTTGTCTGTTTCCAACTCTCAAATATTTGCTAAGGCAAGAATTTTGTTTTGCTCTTTTTTCTATACCAGAATCTAGCACAGTGCCTGGCATTTAAACGATGTTCAATGAATGAAGGAGGCTCAGAGAACTGTTGGGCTCAGTTGTGTCTGAGAATGTGCTGCCTCCCTGGCAGTCCCTTACCCAGAACCGTCTGCCATCACCTGCTGCTTAGATCAATTACTAGAAAGATCAACTTATTCACTTGTTACAAAGACAAAAACAATCATTTTACGTGTCAATTTAAGTTTTCACTTAAATGGGAGATGAGAGAAAATCACTGTCAGACAATTTAAGTTCAGGGGACAGCGGGATGTTAAACCAGAGCTTGGAAAAGAGGCTGAGACTAAAAACAGAGAGCCGAGACTTCCACATGGAGCAGGAGAGAGACCTCAACAACAGAGGAGCTTTCCAAGGGACAGCAGCTTATTAGCTGAGCATATTATACACTTTCTTGGCCTTAGTTTCCACATCTGCAAAATGAGGATAACGAGGATAACGCTACCCCCGGCTGCTGGGAAGAGTGAGACTGAGATCACCGGCAGCACTCAGTGAACATGAAGTCTTCCTTCCCTGTAATGTGAAAGTAAAAAGGTACTGACTTCTTACTTACCTTGCCTATCTTGATGCATGAATTTATAGTATCCAACAAGTCCGCCTTCTTTTCATTTATAGGCACTTCTCCTAACTCCTTCCCTATTAATTCACCTGCCTGATAGCCCATTGTTGTTTCAAATGCAGGATTTGCATACTGAGGGGAGACAAAAAAAAAACATCAAGTGAATTAAAAGTCATTTTGAAAAGAGGACAATCAAGGGTCTTTGGACCTAGGCCCTTCATGTTTTCTCTCCAGAAAGCTCAGGAGCCTGGACCTCACCGTGGCAGTTCCAAAGCCACAGCGCACAACCCCTGAGAGAATTCTGGAACCTGGAGAAGCTTCTGCTTGGATGATACTTGGCTGGACTTTCTGCCATGTTCTCCTGAAGGGTGAGGAGGGGAGCAGACCCACTTCCACTTCAACGAGCGCAGAGGAGGGGACCTGCACAGGGATATGCCAGAGGCTGCTACAACAGGGCCCCAGACTGGGGTGCGAAACACTCAGGCAAAACGCCCCCTCCACACACTGTCTGCCCTCTGCAAGTCACTTAAACCCTCCCAGACTCAGTCTGCTCATCTGGATAATGGGAATGAAACATATCTCTTGCCTCTTTCCTATGGGTCAAATGCATAGTGAAGGGAGATTAAAGAAAAAACATTAAGTGAATGTTGATGTGTGTGGAAAGCGGGCTATGAACTAGGAAGAGCATTTATAAACGTAAGGCTGGTTAAGTCTCAAACAGGACCAGAAGATGAGGAGGAAATGTTTGGGAAAACTGCACGTGCTAATGGTGATCATAAAATAATTGATACTATTTATCAAGGTCTGTTTTCCTTGATAGACACCACAGTAAGTAGTACTTTACACACATCATTTAGTCCTCACAACATCCTTACGAAAGGTAAACTGTTGTTCTTATTAATGTTATTCCCACGTGCACAGATGAGAAAGCAGATTCAATCAGATTGAGCAACTTGCCCAAAGTTGCTCAGCCAAGGCAGAACGGAGCACAGGCCCACCTGTTAATAACATCAAAGCCTGTGCCCTCAACCCCTGGCCCGTGTGGCCTCTCAGGGCACCAACTCCTGAATGTCAACACCATGTACGCTTTAATAAAAGTCACAAGTGAAGGACTAGAGAGCCCAGAAGTAAAATCAAAGCAGAGCTAATTCTCAGACAAACTGGCTAGCACAACTGTGTTCCTGGCACAACTCCCTTTTTTGTTGTTATCTAAAAGTACAAGTAAGTCACTTACATAAACCTGATTTGCTAATAATGGGTAATTTATTCAATAATTACTAGGTCTGTTATTTTTGAAACTTTTAGTTTATACTTATAGCAATTTATTAGAAACAACTATCTTCCAAAACAGTGAGAGAAGTGAAAAGCTTGCAGACCTTCTGGTGAGAGCATTCCCCTACTACAGCTGTGCGCCCTCCCCACCAAGCAATGATCCTTTCGAATCAAAGTCTCTCCTTGCTAAACACACAAACCAGTGAGAAATAATGAAATGTGGTATTTCTACAGACATTTACCAGCACCTTAAGTAACTATATTAGTATCTTTTCTTATCTATGTTATTTCAAATTATATTTTTTATTGATTTTGTTCTAATAATCCTCTAAGGAAAAATTGGTCTCTGAAAGTTGAAAAAGAAAAAAAAAATCCTAAAAATGAAAACAGAGAAATACAGAAAGACAAATTTCTAAAATAACAAACCTGTATAATGTGGTCTTCATTTGTAATTTCAATTGCTTCTTGACTTTTCTCTAATGCAGTGAATATTGAGTTACAAGCCCTTTATGGGTAGGAAAAAAAAAAGGACTGATTAACATAAATACTACAAAATCTAATACAATCTTGGGGTATTACATTAACTTATTTAAATGTGTTTAGTCTGCTGTGTGAGGAGGAGGAACTATTAAAAAGCACACAGAGGAAACGAATACCTCAGCAGCCCTAGCACTTGGGATCATGACCGTGGACCCTGGTGCGTCTCCCTCCACTGTGGGAAGGCAGTGGGTCAGCTCCTCAGCACTGTGGGACCCTGGGCAAGTGACTGCACCCCCGTCAAGTCTCCCCCTCACCACTGAAGAGTCCTTGCGAGGACTAATGAGAGAAGAGTCCAGAACACCACACAGAGCCTGGTGGTCAATTGTTTGTAGCTATTATTTTAAACAAATTATTTTCACAAAAGTAGGGTCATTTGGAATGACTAGCTTTGTTCGCTGTTTTCTACACTTAGCCTTCTATTGTCAGCATTTTCCTATATTCTTAGTGTCTGCAAACATTTTTTAATTACCTAAGTAACAAATGTTTATTGAAAATAAAATTAGAAAATTACAGATAAACAAAAATAAAGGAGACACTATATCATACCCACCAGGATAATAAAAAAGACAGTTAATAACACGTGTGGGTGAGGAACCCTCAAATACTGCTGGCAGGAATATAAAATAGAGCAGCCCCCTTTTTGGGAAAACAGTCTGGAAATTCCTCAGATAGTTAAACGTGGAGTTATTACATGATCCAGCTATTCCACTCGGTGGTAATATACCCAATGGAAATGAAACTATATGCCCACACAAAAATGTACACAAATATTCATAGCAGCATCATTCAGAATAGGCAAAGAGCCGAAACAATCCAAATGTCTATCAACTAATGAATGGATAAATAAAATGTGGTATATCCACACAATGGAATATTATACAGACAAAAAATGTAAAGTCCCAATATATGCCATGACATGGATTACCCTTGAAAACAGTACGCTCAAATGAAAGAAGCCAGTCACAAAGGACCACATAGTACGTGATTCCATTTATATGAAATGTCCGACACAGAAAACTCTACAGATAGAAAGTATATTAGCGGTTGCCTAGGGCTAGGGTTAATGAAAATGTTCTAAAATTGTGGTGACTGATGCACAACTTTGTGAACATACTAAAAGCCACTGAATATATCTCAATAAAGCTATTAAAAATAAATGAGATCAAATCATGTGAAATCCTAACACCTGGACATATCAACCGGTGTTCTAGGCATTTTCTTGTACATACGTACATACGTAACATGTATTTACAAAAACAGGATTATACTCTACAGTTTTAAAATCTGTTTTCTCACTGAATAATGTACATTAATATCTTTCCTTATCAATAATTATGGTTCTTTATCATCACTTTTAATAACTAGATAGTATTCCATTGTAAGATTATAGCATAACTTATTCAATAAATCCCCTATGACTAGACATTTAAGTTGCTTCTGGGTTTTTTTCTTATATTAGAATCTCCCAAAGAATGATTAGGAGATTCTCTTGCCTCAGAAGACAAGAGAAAAGAAAACCTGATTATTTATGAAGTGTAGAGATAATACTAAGTATACTATAAGAATAACAATGCTTTTACATTATTTCTAGTATTACTAAATTACCTCACTAAACAACGAGACAAAACAGCTTAGCCAATAAAAATGAGAAAATTAGCTCCTTTTTGGCATGTTAAAATCAAGAGATGGTATGTGAACTACACC